AAAAATTTCGATATATCAAATTATGATATATAGTTCAAAACTAAGTTAAGATAAATATCAATAATTTCGTTATCCAAAATAAATTGAAACAAAAGGGAGTTATTGGTAGGCTAGTAATATCTATAGAGCTTTTTATCATAATTACGAAGATTTAGCAATACAGAACACTTAAAATGATAATATGCCAATTATCGATATATTTGCTATGGATAACAGAAGCATAGCTTTAACTACAGTCGCTACAATCCATAAATGGGCAATTTGTGAGCAAAATTTAAATGAAAGATGAGCACTTATAAACAAAGAACAAAAGTATCGATATTTTGTTATCGATAACAACAGCGCAAGCTTAAAAAACTACTCACTATTTTTTATAAACTTTAAAATATGAAATTTATATAAGAGCTGCAATGTATTCGATATATATATGTTATCGATAACAGGCAAAAGAACATTAAACATGGCTAAGAGTGTCTAAAACATATTAATTTAAGTATATATGAAGAAAAAGTTACTAAAGCTTATCGAAAACACATATCAAACAGCTGGCCAACTATCGATTAATCGATAACAAATATAGGCTAAGCGCTGCTTACAATCAAAGCAGCTAAAAACACAGCACACACAGAGGCTACTTCAATCACCAGCTATGCAGTAATTAAAGAACTTTCGCTGCTGCTATTTGCTCGCTGCAAATACATATCACACATACGCCACGTTGCACACCGTCGATAAATTAGCTGTCAAAGTTTTGGCAAACAGTTGCTGCGCTTAATTGACGCTACAGTGGAATGCAGCAAAAACTAAACAAACATTGGCCGAAAAGCACAAAAACTAAAACAAAAACAAAAAACGGTTAAAGGTTGGTGCCGAGTTGCCACCTGTGACACCTGTAGCCCCCTGCCATCAGCCTCCTGGCTGGTCCACAGTTTCATGCAGAAAAGTAAAATCAACAGCAGCAAAAGAAATCAGCGGAAATGTCACTTTCTTTTCAATCAAAACGCAATTCATGGCACTCGAAATGCATCAACGGCGAAAATGCTACAAAAGGTCGTGCCACTTCATGAGGCGCGAGCGCGCAGCACTCGACGCAAGGCAGGAAAAAAATCGGAAGAAAAAAACGAAAAGGTAGAAACACGATTTTCAAGAGAGTATAGAGTGCGGAGAGAGGCGCAGTGGGATGGGGGTGTTTTGGTACACTCTGAACTTTAACCCGTGTGCCAATAAAAATTAAACTGCAAAACAAAAACAGAAAACAAGCCAAGCGACGCTTTAATTTGCATTTCGTGGAAAATTCTTTAGCCAAAAGATAAAAAAAAAAAAACAAAAAACGAAGCTCCGCAAACCCCACCTGTTGCCAGCTGCCTGCCCAGTTGCCAGTTGCTTGTCCAAAACAACATGGTAAATATTTAAAAATGTACTTAGGCCAAAGTGAAAGAGACAGGCAGGCAGGCAGGCAGTCAGCCAACGAGACAGGCAACAAGCCAGAGTTAAAGTTAGAGTTAGAGCCAGAGCCAGAGCCTCGTCGACCCTGCAGCAACAATGAGGCAAGCGAGCGAGCGTTGAGGCGACAGATGTGACAAACAGCTGACTGCAGTAACAACAACAACAGCAACAGCAACAACGAGTCACTGCAAGACTCAATAATGCTTAGCCAGTTAGAGCGCAGGGAAGGGACAAAAATGTTTCGAGGCTTCAGGCCAAATGCAAATGATTGGCATGGGAAGCGCAATTTCAAGAGAGCTAAAGAGGCGACTAAGCTAAAAAGAAGTTAAGCTCAATTATGTGCTAAGTAGCAAGGAGCCAGTAACAACAACAGCTACAGCAACAAGTTGCAATTAGTTAGGAAAATTGCTAACAAACTCCGAGTGAGAGTTGAGCTTCGACTTTCAACCAACGGCGAATGACAATGACAGCGAACATGGCGTATGAGTCATGCGAAGAGCAAGCTGAGCGCAGCTTGATTTGCTTAACAAGCAAGCTTCAGATGTCTTTGTTATATAAAGAAATAGTTGAAATTTATTAGAGCACTAAGCATGAAGCATTAATTAAGTAATTGTTGCAATATTTTCGCTAATCAAGGAATAATTTTTGCTTGTTGGAGTAAAAATTATGCTGTCCAACTGTCCAGGCTTGGACTGTGACTTGATCAGCAATCAGTCAATCAATCAATCAGTCATAATATAATATATCAAATATAGTTTCGAAACAAACAATAAGCTTTCTCAGCCTACAAGAAGCTGTCCTATTTTCAGATTTTTGCCCAAAGCTTAGCTCATCAATCAGTCAATCAGTCAGGCATAACAAGCAATCATATACACATATATTTATTACATGTATATGCAGGATTTAAAAAGCAAAAACTATTTAGTCTCTCAAATTCAGCTTTATAGCTATCAGAGTTTGAGTTTGGAGTTAATCATCCATCAGTCAATCAATCAACATAAGTCTTAATGAATTTATGTGCAAATGTTTGGCTTAAAGCGTCATAAAGGTAGCTGAATTGGCAAAACGAGCTTTGAATTGTCAGCCAAACATAAATCCATCAATCAAACAATCAATCATTCAATATATATATTAATTTAGTTAATATCATTAACTAACAATCAATCAATCATGTAAGAAACTCCATTATATATAATAAATTTGAGCTCTAGAAAGCAGCTGTCTATTTGTCAGGCTTTCAGCTTCACGTTAATGATCAATCATCAAACAGTCAATCATGAATTCTTAATATATTTATATATGCATACTCAAACTCAAATAACTAAGCCTTTTGGTATGGGGCTGTAAGCCAACCATCAAAAAGTGAATCAATCAATCAATCAGAGTACGCTCTAGTATATATATAAATCTATATTGAAAGGGAAAAAAAAGAAGCAAAATTCAGCATTCTAGCTGTCGTTGCTTATGCATTGAACATCAATCAATCAAGCACTCAATTAGCCAGAAAATCTATTTATCTACACACCCCCACAGCTAAAAACTTTTAGTGCAACTTACTTTCAGAAACTTCTTTTAGTAAACTTGTTTTCCTGGAACTTCATTAAATATTTCTTTATCTGAATCTTTTTACTTTTATAGAGAGTTGCAAGAGCTTGCTGCAATCATGGCACAATTTAACAGGAATTCGCTTCAACATTCTTTAAGGCATTTAAGCGCAAATTAATTATTGTATTTAGTTTCCATTTCTATAGAAAGGGAAAACACAGAAAAAAAAAAACAAAGAGGGGAGCAAGAACTTGAGCCATTCGATGCAGAACTTGAAATTGTGCTAAAACAATATGCGAAAGTAGTTCGGAAAAAGCATTTTAATAGCCGAACAAAAGTCATATGGAAATGAGAGTGTCCCTTCAAGCCCTCTACACCCTGCACAACTATGCGAGAATATTTATATATGTATATATATATATATTTAGAAAGTTTTCAACATGGAAAAGTTGGCACAGGGAAATGGCTGGCATTTATGGAAAGGAAGTGACGGGCTTGAACTCATAGCTGAAGCTCTCAGCTCTCAGCTCTCAGCTCCCAGTTCTCAGTTCTTAGTTCTGAGCACAAATTACCAAGTAAATACGAAGCCGAGGTGCGTTTTGCAGTTACCAAGGGCAGAGCATACCATTTATTCCCCTCGCTTTTCTGACTGCATCAATTTTTTAATAACTTTTCATTTTTTTTTTCTTCTTCTTGCTGCTTCCGCTTGGCAGTTGCAGAGGCAGAGGAGAGTTTGGGAGCAGCGCCGCATGTTGCACTCAAGCAATTTGTGGCATTATGTGAGGGTCTCGTTTGCCATTAACCCGCTGTGTTGCAGCTATTTTATATGCAGAAGTGCCACACAGTCCGAGTGCGAGTCCGAGTACGAGTCCAGTTGAAGATTGGCATAGAATCTTGAGTTGCTTATTTTCCACTTCTTCTTCTTTTTTATTTAACCGTTTTCAATTTAAGCTTGGACCTTGTCTGCTGTTATTAAAAAACTGTTTGCGTCAATTTCACACACACACACACACAGACAAACACTCGCACACACTTGTTGGTGTTGGCTCATGGCAATTCAACGAGCCAAACAAGCAGCAAGCCAAGCAAATATTTGCAGCTGACAAGCACAGTGAAACGTAGACAAGCCCACGCTTGCATCTCTAACTAATCGCATTGCAACTGCAGTTTAATTAGTTAGTCTTTTGGCCACAACAGATTATCTGATTGTATACAAAAGAGTGACTGACTGATTGACTGACTGACTGACTGACTGACTGACTGACTGCCTGATTGTTAAATTAACGCAGAATTCAAACTTCAAAAGTTGAGCAAATGACAAAACATGCAAGAAAGAAGTGTGTAAAATTCTTTTAAAAATAATTGAGCTTAAAGTTTTTCATTGTTAAACAATACATTATATTCTAGCAATAAGTTGCAGGTGCGTGTCCTGCGGCAAACATTATGTTTTTATAACAATTAACATTATTTGATTGTAACAACATTCTGTTAACTTAAACATAGAAGTCAGCACAAATACATATTCTGAGACACCCTGTGCTGTATGGCTGAAGAAAAGACAAAACTTTAACAGCATGAACAATAACATTTGATCAAGCTGCTGTTCGCTAGCTCGAGTACAGCTTGGTTTATTTTTAGAAATTTACATTTTTATGTTGACTTTAACATGCTGTTAACCAAAATAATAGAATGTTATATACATTTAGAAGCATACTGTGGCGCCGTGCAGCGAAATTCTGTGCACGACAGTCAAGGTTCGAGCCTCAGAGAAGTTAATATAAATATATCTTTTTTTAATTTAGATTATAAAATATTTTTTTTTTTTTTTAAATTATAAAAAATTGTTTTGTAGAAAATAGGGAAAAAACAGTGACAAAATAGACTGCAAGGTAAAACGAATCATTCAAACAATTTCCCAGCCTTTTATGCCCTACAGCGTTATATATATTTTCTTTTTCCTGGCCAGCTCAACGCCTTTTCATTCACTTCCTTTCTAACTCTATTTGCAGAAGACAGCGACAGCGAAGCCCACCAAATATCATTATTATCCACACAATCAGCACATCTATCTGCTGCCCGAATGCGCCATCCAGCAGGTCTGCAATGCGGTCTATGTCCGCCTCAACTACACCCAGCCGCTCTGCGCCTGTCCATCAAGGTGAGCAAAGAAGAAGAAACAGTGCCCAACCCAAGCCATGGCTAACCAACCGTAATGCCCCCCAAGCTAGCTCAGCTGGTTGTCCCTGGTTGCGCCCAACTGGGGGGCGGGCGCGTTGGTATCGGGAACTTGGGGCATTGCTAGACAGGCAGACAGACAGCTGCTAAATACTAAGCCCAATCTGTCTTTCTTTTCGTTTTGGTAGATATCGTGATCCCTGCTCGGCCAGCCTCAACGAAGATGATCAGCACACCACCAAATTGGTCGGTGATAATAAGAAGAAGGTAAGTTTTGCCATCTAACCAGTGGGGGAGCGTGCTAAGCCAGCCAAATACACTGAGCAAAAAGAACCAACTCCAACTCAATTGAAAACTAACTCAGCTAAGTACTGACAAGTAATTTGACTTCAAGGGAAATCTAAAAACAGATAAAAATAAAATTAAAAAAAAAAAAAGAAAAATATTTTACAAAAGTTCAAATCGAAATCATTTTTATAATGATTTGAGCTCCGCTTTATCTGTGCATTCTTAGCTAATTTTTTATGGCTTTTTAAGTTCTCAGAGTCAGAGTTGAAACTGCCATAATTATTGGGTATTCATATCGCCAGATCAGCGATTATTTTGCTCAGTGCATGGCAATTCGTATAAGTAATTGGTATCAATGATAGATCATGTGGCTGGGCACGACTGGGACTGGGACTGCTTCTATAGATTGTTGCTCAGAGATTTCCTGGAAGGATCTGCGATTCGATTAACAAGTCTTTTCCCACAAGCCAACCACCCGCTGAACGTGTGTGGTGCTTGCAATTAGCGGTGCAGCGGTGCATAATTGAGTTATAAATGCTCCAGCTGTGGATTGCCACAATAAATTTGCCATTAATGTAATGATAATAAAAAGTTTTTAATAGTTTAATGAGCGGGATCGTCAATGTGGGCTGCGGCTGCCGCTGCTGCTGCTGCTGCAGCTAATTGTGTGCGGCCGAGTACCGTTAAATGCCACACTTGCTGTGGTGCATGTCTTGCCGGAACTGTACCACTAGCAAAATTATGAAAATGCGTTTAAAAAGCTGACAGCGGACAGCGGCTAGGCAGAAGCTTAGCTAGAAAAACTGGCACAACGGGCAGCCAGTTACTGGCAGGCCACATTAACCTGAATGGCAGCCAATTGGCAGCCAATGGAGCGGGCGAAAGGAAATGCCAGCCAGCCAGCCAGCTAGCTAGCAGCATGCAAAGAGCGCCGCAAGTCAATCAAATTATTGACAGCAAACAGCAGCAGCTAGTAAGAGTGATCTCGTAAGCAGTGCCCGACTAACAGATGCCCTAACCAGGACATCGAACTGGCTGTATATGCTAGCTTGTATATGTGAACTCAAGGGAAAGTTCTAGCTATAAGCTAACTAGGCATTGCCTGAAGTCACATAACAAATATGTTAACTCTAGCTGCCATAGTTCTCGAGTTATGCTCAATAAGCTAAGTTTCTAAATCTATGTGAATAAAATAAAAAAAATTAAAGCAGAGATAATTGATATATAGGAATATAGATAGAAAATTTTCAAGTAAATACTAAAGTACTAGCAGTTATAGCTTAAGGGCTAGCTTGCTTGAGGTGTGACTAACATAGATAAGTATAAAGTTAAAGAATGATATATTCCCTTAATAGGCTTACAATAGCAGAGTTTACACTCCAAATTTCATATCGCTAGCTGGTATAGTTCTCGAGTTATACCAAATATTATGCATAGAGTTTACACTTCAAATTTCATATCGCTAGCTGGTATAGTTCTCGAGTTATATTAAGTTATGCATAGACTCCTTGGGGACTAGGTACTCAAAGCGTGAAGATTGAGCAACATAGACTCTCTGTTCAATCTATAATACTTGCACAAAATCAATATACTCCTTACAAGCATTTGCAATGGGTATCGCAAGAGCAACAACAACAACAACAGTAGCCGAATTGTAACACGGAAAATCTGTTAAAAGGACAATCATGGTAAAGGCAGTCAATTGAATGGGAGTTCGAGCATTGCATGAGATCAACTGCCAAAGCAATTGGCTTTTGCAATTTCGGACAAGCTTTGCAGCTAATGTGGCACAAGCAACAGATGCGATGCAGGCCTCCGCCCCGCCCCGCCCCGCCCCGCCCCGCCAACGCCCTGGGCTAGCCAACGGTGGCTGCTTCGGACGGATTACACAGCTTGCGATACAGTTTTGCACTTTGCCAGCCTTTGGGTTGCATGTTAACTTTCAATTTGAGCCACGATCAATGAATATCAATAGGGAGAGGTTTTCGCGGGCTGCATGGCAACTTTCTTCGGCCGGCCCTGTGGGCCAGCCAATCTAAGACAGACGCCGCCAAGTGAATGTCTAATTGCAGCGCTCATGCATTCGACTCCTTTTAGCTAGCTATTAGCCATGTCTAGACAGGTTGAAAACGGTATTCAGTGCACTAATCAAAGCTCTTCCTCTCCCTCTGTCTTCCTTGCTCACTCTCTCTCTTTCTATCAACAGGCAATTACGCTAGCCAAAACGTGCGAGGCAACAACTGAGATGCGCGAGTGCCGTTCACCCAAGGATTGGTCCCTGTTGGCGCTGCAAAATACACGCACTGGCAAATCTCACTATCTTGTCATATGCCGTTGCCCCGATCACTTCAAAATGGGTGAGTAGCAACAACCAGCAGACGATGTGTAGTACAATCAATTAGAAGTTAAGCCTGGAGCTAAAAAGCGTAGAGTAAAACTAAAGAAACTTAGTTCTTGCAGAGTTAAGTCAAGTTTCTAAGCGTTACTTCCTCACTAAGCCCATCTAGAGGTAACATCCTTCGTTAGTTAACTAAGACTCACATCCTTTCTGAGACTAACATCCTCAGTGGGAGCTTTGTCCAGCTCGCTTTGACTTATTTAAAACCAATTGAAGTCTCTCGACCACAACCTCTGCTAACACGAGCCTCTCCATCCTTCACAGAGGGACCCATGGCTCATGATCAGCCCACCTATGCGAGCGTGCCTGGAATACGTGTATTTGGCATGATGTGCGTGAAGCCGGGCTACTCGGTGCGCAAGCCCAGCGTGCAGCCACCCAAGCGCTATCAGCTGCAGAAGCCCTTCTATCGCCCGGGCACAGGCGGCGGCAGCAACAATGGCGGCAGCATATTGGGCGGACAAAAGGACAGCTATGGCAGACCCATTTATGGCGGGCAGTTGGGCAGCTCGGCCATCAGCGCGAACTATCAGCCACAGGATCAAACGTTCCAGAACGGCGGCAGCAGCTCGTATCAGTATCTGAATCGACCGGAGAGCACACAGCATACGCATAGCAGCTCGCCTAACTTCCGACCGGATCAGTTTGCGCTCAACGGTTTTCCCGGCAGCAATTACGGACGTAACAATGAGCGACGCGGCGAGGCGCCGCCCATCGAAGCAGCTGCCGAGGAACGCGACCAATTGCCCAGTGGCAGCAGCAGCAGCAGCACACAGTCGAGCGATGAGGCAGAGGCACGTACCACGCTCCAAGCGGAGCAGAGCGAAGCAACTACGGCGGAGTTGCCGACACAGCCGGAGCCGACGAGCCGTGTTAAGCGATCGCTCGATTCGCTGGATGACTCTGAGCCCGAGTTTCCCTGGGACCGTGTGCTCGAGTTTCAACAGACCATTGTCTGGGACTAAAGGCAAAACCTAAGCTGAAGCTTAAGTAGTAAAACAATTTTTAATTGGAATTTTTCCGGAATACTCTGCAACCTACTGTGACTGAAGCTAAACGAAGATCGCGATCAACTTGATTGTTCCCAGAGATAGACGGAGAGCGGGAGGGAGAGAGAGAGAGCGAGATGGGTTCAACGACTACGTGACAGAGAGGCGGTTTTACGTAACGTAACGCGTAACGTAACGTAACGTATTTACAATTAGACGTTAAGCATTTAAATTTAAGCACTTGAAATGGCATTTTCCGATCATAAGTTGATCGCCTAGCAAACTTTCCTTAATTTATAACAAATACTCGTATTTTGTATTTATTTAAATGAGAAACAAAAAACAATTACGAATTAATTAAACAATTATGCGCCCACGCCCACGCCCGAACTAATTGTTTAATTAATTTGTTTTGCATATCAAAAACCCAAAATATGGCATCAATTCCATTTTTTAAATAAAATATTTAACATATTTAAACATATCTTAATTAAACAGTGACGCAAATCATTTAAATTATAAACAAAAAAGAAAAATACATTTAGTTGCCTATTTATGTTAGACCTAAGCTGCATTTACTAGTAGTTAAATTATAAAAACAACAACAAATTATCTATGTAAACGATTTTGAACGACTTTTTGCTCTGCCGCGCATACGAAATGCATATGTAATAAATTATTTATACATTTTAGTTAAATAAATCGAACAAAGTGCATTTATTTATGGGACGAGAGATAAATGAAGTCCAGGGCAGGAGCATAACAGAATATGGCAATGTTATCAGGAGTCGCCATGGCTTATAACAGAACAAGCAACATCTACTCAACTATTTAACATAGCTACTCACTGTTGCAGGCAATGCCATAGTAAATGCTCTACACACATTGAGCAACGGCAAAAAACTAGTAAACATAACAGCTCAATTTTAATAGCACCTATCAAAACTGATAAACATAACAGAGCAATGTAATGAGCACATATCATAAGTGAACAGCTTTCATTAAAAGCACTCAACTTATTTAACATAACATTTCAAATCAAGACTGCAGAGTTTATGTTGTTGAACATAACATTTCAATGTAAAACTGCAGTCCATGTTAACCCTAAATTCAAACAAATGTAAATGTTTGCCCAATACTAAATTTCTACAATTGTTGATTTTATATTATAACTCACCCAACATTTCGGCATTAACCACAATATTACAGCTGTACATGGGCGTGACCAGACGCTGAGGTTGATTCTGAAAAGCTTGTCGGCAGACTTCCTTGGCAGCCGTTAACACCTGGCCTGTTAATAGTTAACAGAAATATGTTAAACTAAGCTCAAATATATGCAGACGGATTTATGAATGTCAGACGCACCAGAAAAGGGTCCAAAGCCGCGTGCATTTAGATCCTCGCCCTCCGATTGAACGGACCACTCTAGCACCGCAAAGCAAACACCTTGCATGGGCTCTTCACACAGCGGACCCGCGCCCGTTGTCAATTGAAAGCCATTCACCAAGGAGCTGTTAAAATCCCGACGTGCATCGCTCAAATCTGTATCGCTTTTGGAGTGTGTGCACCAGAAGTCGGGCTGATCGAAGTCGCTAAGATTAAGCAGAATATTTGTGCCACAATTGCGAGGCCCCAGCGACCAAATGCGCTGCACCAACTCCGAGGGCGAAAGAGAGCTGAGTCCATGTAGCTGCAGTTCCGCGAAGGCAGTGATCAGTTGACTCCTGATGGAGGCCAAGAGAGCAGAGAACTTCTCCGAGAATAGAGCATTACGTGGCGAGGCAGCGAGCTCCTAGAAAAGTAAAGCAAATTAGAACTTTCTTGAATTTGGCTTGGGAGCTTTAGACTCACCTTAAAGACATTGCCGTGCTGCTCCAACAGCTGGACAGCAGCTGCAGGTAGGGGTAAAGCGATAACCCTCAGCGTGCCCAGCTTATTCAGTGTTTGCTGTGTGGCTATCTTCTTGCTGATGTCCTTGTCGTCGGCTGTCTTCACTATGACCTCGTTGACCATATCCACAGTAGCGTCTGGCACAATAGTCTCTCTAAACGAAACAATTGGCTTGGACACATTGACTTTGATCTTGGCATAGCTCTGCTCCAGGTCATGCACGCATTTCTCCACGTGCACTTCACCCAGGGTCGTTATCACGTGCTCTCCGGTAGGCGCTACAGAGACCTGGACACAGGCATCTGCTTGATTGAGCAGCTTCAGTCCTTTCACTAGTTTCGGCATATCCTGCGGCTGCACTGGCTCAATGGCAACGCGCAGTATTGGCGTAGCCATAATGCTTAGCTCGCTGAATGAGGTGCAGTCGAGCGTGCTGCTGAGTGTCGCTGTCTTCACTATATGCGATTCCAGGCCACCAATGCCAACAATGTTGCCCGCTGGCACCTCTTCCAGCAGCTGCAGCTCGCCGCCCATGAACATATAGAGATCTCCGACTGTAACCTGCGTGGCATAGGGCGCCTGGTCGATCACTCGATGGGTTGCCTGTCTTGGATCATGCTTGGGCGTTAGATTATAGAGCTGCATGCCACGCCGCAGCGTACCGCTAAAGACACGCGCGAACGCTACAAACTCAAAGGCTTTGCGCTCCGGCTCCTCCTCTGCAGCTTCCTCTGCAGCAGCTGGCTGCGTGTTCAACTGCTCCACGCCAGCTGTGAGCTGCTCCAATTGTGCCTGTTCACTCAGCTGCTTGCGCTCTTCGATGCGACGACGCACCTCATCGCGGCGCTGTTGCAGCTCCTGATCAGTGAGCCGCTTGGGCCGATTCTGTGGCAGCTGCTCCACCGGCACGGGCATCATCTTGGAAACAAAGGCAATAACATTCTCGCTCTGCGCGTTGCAGCTCCTGAAGCTGTCTTTCAGAGCCAGCGTTTCGGCGGGCAACGAGCTCAGCTCAACATTAGCTGGATAGAGCAGCCGTTGCGCCCGCTCCTCGCTGATGCAATGCGGCGCCGGCACGTGACGCACCACCATTTGGAGCACGCTACGATCTATGGGCAGCCACTGACCCAACACAGTTTTGATCTGCAATTTAGCATCTGTCAAGCGTAGATCCCGCGCTGCCAGCTTTAGGCCTAGTTTCTCAGCTATCAGTGGCAACTTCTCCTTGTCTTTGCGCACAGCTATGATGTCGTATAGACTCCAAATGTTCTCCAGCACAAACTGCACAAACATGGGCTTCTTGGCCTTCTCCTGAGCGCCAGCCATAGCGCATTTCTTTTTGCTATTGTAGTAGAAGTCGCCCCACAGCTTTTGCTCCAGCTCTGCATGTGGTATTTCGAGTCGCTCCGCGTAGGTAGCCGCAAAATCAGATACAGCAAATGCCCAGCCATCGTAGGCAGAGCAGAAGACCACATTGCCGGCAGCTGGTGAGAAATACAATTCCGAATCATCCACATTTTCCAGCGCCGATTCGTAGTTATTCGTATCTGTCATATCTTCCTTGGCCAGCACATCGGATGCAAAGATGCTGCCCAGTACGGCATTCACCTGCTCAAGCACCTGAGTCAAATGAAAGTAGGCATCCAGCGGCGTCATTTGCTTCTCTAAGATCAAACGATCCAACTTATTGAGCAGCAAAACAGGCTTCAGCTGTTCCTCGTATATTTGTTTGAGACAGGCACGTGTTTGTGGTCCGACGCCCTCGACCACATCCACAACGACGATAGCGCCATCGCACAGACGAACTGCTGTGGAAACCTCACTGGAGAAGTCCACATGACCAGGTGAATCAATAAGATTTATCAAATAGTCCTTATTGCAATTGTCTTGATAGTACAATGAAATGCTGCTGCTCTTCATGGTAATACCCCGCTCCTGTTCATCCTGACGACTGTCCATATAGCGCAATTTGCCTACAATTCAAAATTTCACATGCAATGGAAATACAAATCGAAAACAACAACAAACAAACCAGCCATGCGTTGTGAAATGATGCCATTGCTTGCCACGAGGGAATCCGCCAGCGTTGTCTTTCCATGATCCACGTGCGCTAGTATACATATATTGCGCACCTGTTGCTGTTGTTTCTGTAGCAGCACAAGCTCTTTGGTGTCCACCACGGGCATTTTATGTCAAAATAAAATTTACCTGTTGCCGAAATAAGTTTTTGAAACAACTAAGCTTGCAATATCGATAACACCGATTGCAAAACGAGTACATTGGTACAGTAGAAAAAGCTCTATCAGCTGTTTAGCCAATTGGCATCGGTTGGCGCTTAAAAAATACTCATATTTAAATTTAAATAAGATATTAATGAGCAATAAAAATGATTGAACGGTTTGGTATAAAATAATTGTATGAGTAATTTGGCAACACTTGCCACATTCCTTGTTTGCTAACTATTAAATAACTTATTTTATGAAATACATGAACAATAATATTCCTTACCGATGCCAAGATTGAGTACTTACCTGCCGTTGAATATATGTTATCAGCTGTTCTTGCATTGCCGCCAAATTGACAATTTGAAAAAAATAACAGCCAAAAATTTTAAGCAATTTATATTTAAAAATCAATTAGAGCAAATTACAAAAAAGCATTTCGATAGTGTTCATGTTTGTCGGCTTAGTTATGTGTATTTAACAGTATTACACGGCTCAGGTAAGCTGGGTAGTTGGTTTACTTGATGGAACAGTTGGCCAATTTGCTGGTCAATTGCTCGCCTTCGGTTGTAAGCAGGAAATTGTCCTTCCAGACAGCAACGCCGTCGGCATTGGTCTTGAAATCGACAGAAAGTTTCTCCCACACTTTCTTCTTGGGATTTAGCTGCTCATCCGGTGTGCCGCTGTAGCCTTCAAAGGCAAGTCGACTGCCGGGCTTAGCTACTGCTGGCAATACAATGGGTTCCACAACTGTGTGATCAGCGCTGTAATCAAAAAGTAATAAATTAGAGTTTAGCTCTAGGCAAGCTGCATAGTTAAGCTCACTTGGATGTACAGAGCACCATGCCTTCGGATAAAATGCCACGCATTTTGGAAGGCTTCAAATTGCATAAGACCGCAACCAGTCGCTGATCCAGTTCCTCAACAGTGACAAACTTGACCAAGCCGCTGATTATAGTGCGTGGCTGCGCCTCTGCCAGATCTATTTTGAGAACATAGAGTGTATCTGCATCTGGATGACGAGCCACCTCGATAACTTTGCCCACACGTATGTCCAGCCGATGTGGCGCATCCTCATCAGCAGCCGATGCAGCGGGCGCTGCATTGGCTTTCACCTTGGCAGGCGGCGGATAAGCAGCAGCTGTTAGTTTTCTGCAAGGGAAAGTATTAGAAATTAAACCTGACAAGTCTAGGGCTCTATAGCTAGTCACTCACTTCAGCTCGGGCTCCTCAAAGGTCTTGCGTATGGGATCCAGCAAACGGTTTATGTACTTCTCCACAGAGGCCTTCAGATCGCCCGGATGCAGCTTATTGTCTGCATAATATTGTTCCAGCTCTGCATATTGGTAGAAAGTAATATCGCCACCATTGTCCGCAGCACGGTTAATCTCAAAGCCTTCGCCTTCCTTGAAGAGCGAGAAGAGCACGTGCTTCACAAAGGAGAGGAGACCATTGTCTGCGATGTTACCTGGCTCGCAAAAAGCCTTCTTCAACTTCTTCTTCACATTCGCTGGCGAGTCGAGTAGATCAATCTTTGAGTCCTCCTCGGAGGAAGACATCTTACCGCCAGCCAAACCAGGTACTGCAAAAAAATTTGATTCGTTAGAGATGTCTCTATTGATGAATCATCCTCTGGCTCACCCATGGGATTCATAAAGTGTATGCGCTTTTCGTAGCCTAGCTGTGGCAAATACTTCTCGGAGAATGTGAATATCTTGCGCTGATCAACGCCACCGAATTGTGCATCCACTTTTAAGTACTCCTCATCCAAGCCTTGCAGACCGGGATACAACAGGCAAGAGAGCAGTGGAAATTCCACCTGTTTCACGACCTCGGCGCCGGCTTTCTTAGCATCGTGAATTGTGACCAGAGAGCTTAGTTTGTACACATCCAGCGTGTACTCCTTGGACAACTGATAATCGCTGCCCTTCACGAATTTCAGCTTATCCAATGGAACACCAATGGAGCGTAGCATCGCTTTGATCACCTGTTCGTAATATTTGGTGCGCAGCTCGAGTAGCGGCCAGGGCGCCTTCATATTATCCAAATAGGCGTGCAGATCGGCAAACAGTATTGTCACCTCACAACCGGCTTTCAAGAAGTCCGCAATCTTTGACATAGGCACAAAGTAAGCGACATGTGGCTTTCCAGTCGTAGCTGTGCCCCAGTAGATCTTCAAATCACGCTCTTGCAGTATTTTATTTAACTTATCGTCGCCGAGTGTCTCTTGCAGGTTACGTGTAATGAGCTGTTTCTTCTCAGCCGCGGTTAGTGTTGTTCCAACCATTTTTATTTAATTAATTTATTAGCTTTTTGTTGCACACTTTGCGAAATAGAACAGAAAAGAAGAAGAGAAATGCATGCGTGGTCACTGCTTGCGATGTGGCAACGTTGTCAGCTGTTACCGTGGGAAACTCAGATTGGCATAGGTAAACAAACTTTTAGAACTGTTGTTCGTCAAATTTTGAAATCTGGCAGCCCTAACAGCTGATATCGAGCTTTGGAGATCATAAATGTAAACAAGACATTGCTGCAAATTGTTTTCGATTTCTTCAAATGCAGAATATATAAATATTTTGAATTAGGCTCAGTGCTTTTTCATACTCTATTATAGCTACAGCTCTTCAGAGACAATGAGCACTGTTAATAAATCAATAATACACACACATCACGAGAGACACGCTACCATCTCTATTTTTGCACAAGCTATGACATCTGGCAGCTCGATCAGCTGTTTAGCCGCTTTAAATATAAACAAACTTTTGCTGAACTTTTTGTTTTAACTTATTTTAACTGAAAATGTTTAGTTTACGATATGCAAAGGTCCTCAGGCAGTGCCTCCACACTACACACAGACTCTGCCACAGCGAGGTACGCGTGCGCTTTGCTCCAAGTCCCACCGGTTACTTGCACCTGGGCGGCCTGCGCACCGCGCTTTATAATTATTTATTTGTACGACATTCCGGTGGCAAATTCCTGCTGCGCATTGAGGATACAGATCAAACGCGACTAGTTCCGGGCGCCACAGAGCGGCTTATTGAAGATTTGTTGTGGGCGGGCATCGAAATAGATGAAGGACCAGGATTTGATGGAGCCTATGGACCTTACATTCAGAGTCAACGCAGAGAGCTGTACAGGTGAAATCCCTTTTTATAAATCATTACTATCACATTATAACTATATATCTGTTTGTAGCCAAGCAGTGGAGCGTCTGCTAGAGAATGGCAGTGCGTATCGCTGCTTCTGCACGGAACGTCGTTTGGATCTGTTACGTAAGGATGCGCTGCGCACCCGCCAGGTGCCACGATACGACAACAAGTGTCGCCATCTAACGGCGGAACAACTTCAACAGCAGCTGGACAAAGGAACGCCTTACTGCATACGCTTCAAACTGACGTCCCATGAGGAGCCGCTGCAGGATCTCATCTATGGCAGCGTGCAGCATAATGTTAGCGAAACGGAAGGTGATCCGGTTATCATGAAAAGCGATCTCTATCCCACGTATCACTTGGCCAATGTGGTAGATGACCATCTGATGGGCATAACACATGTGCTGCGAGGCGTCGAATGGCAAATCTCAACGACGAAGCATTTACTGCTCTACAAGTGAGATCCGAACTCTGTATGACTCTGTATTCCTATTCAAGTTCGCTTCTTTAGGGCCTTTGACTGGCAGCCACCACAATTTGGTCATCTGCCGCTGCTGGTCAACGCGGATGGCAGTAAGCTGAGCAAGCGCCAAGGTGACATTGGCATCAAGCAGTTCAGAGATCGTGGCTACTTTCCTACGGCGCTGCTTAACTACATCATCTCTGCCGGCGGCGGCTTTGAGCATAGAAGCCATAGCAAGCCGCAGCTCTACTCCATGGACAATCTTGCAAAGCAGTTTCTTTTGGAGCGTGTTAATGCCCATCCAAGTCGCTTGAATGCCGAGCTGCTCAATGACTACAATCAGCTGGAGCTGAAGGCTCATCTAGCTGATCCTCTTAAATGCCAAAAACTAGTTTCGCATGTACAGCAACTCATTCGGCAAGCTTATCCAGACCAGTGAGTTCGCTATGAAATGACAGTCAAAGAATCTTCATCCAATTCTCTCCATATCCATACAGCTCCCATTTGGATCTAGCGGAGTCCCATATAGAAGCAGTGCTTCACTGGTCAGCGCAACGTTTGACCCTGCTGCAGGACTTAACTAGCAGCAAGCTCAGTTTCTTGTGGGTTAAACCAAGTCACGTTGTGCTGAACGATTTGAATGCGACACAATGGGAAGAGCTGCTGCAGCAACTGCAAGCTCAGCCCAGCTTTCACAAGGATCAGCTGAATGAGCTGCTGAGAAGCTATGCCAAAGCAGCGTCCATAAAGTTTCCCGCGCTAATGAAAACGCTGCGCGGTGCATTGAGTGGACTGCAGGAAGGGCCTGGCGTGGCGGAAATGATGGAAATACTGGGCAAAGATGTAGTTCTGCAACGTCTACAGGAGAGTCTGGATAAGCAGAAGCAGCTGCAGCTGCAACAATAGATTACAAAGACTTTTTGACTAGATAATTATAATTGTTATATTTGAAGATTAAGATTTAATGAGTAATCATAGCATTTAAACCCATTTGCTTAAGCACCGCTCCGTTTTCCACTTTTGGCATTATCCAGACTTCTTAAAAGACCACGCCTACTTGTTATAATTTATATATATAGTATAGTGAGATATATATATATATAGATAATACTGTTTAGCTGAAGTCGCGATTGGACAGCACAATTGGTGCGACAAGACTCCAGCCATAGATGAAGACGCCCAGCCAGCTAGATATGATTTTAACCCACATGGAAGCCTCATTGCCATTGATCAACTCAATATCCGAGTTGGGCTTATACCAATTGGTCAAGGTCATCATAACGTAAAGGGAAGCTGCGCAAAGATATAGCATCTATATATTATATACTCTACAAATTTGCTGTCCATTTACTCACCACACACGAGCACAGTGTGGAATGCCGTCCAGCTGTAGCTGACAGACTCCGTTTCGTTATCCGTGGTGGCCTTCTCGCCACCGGCTCCGGTCTCTGTGTCTGATAGAGCTTCTGTTAAAACTATATTAGTTATAGAGGTTGTCGGCATATGGTGCACAGTTTCGTAACCAAAAGACCCAAAATCAACGTTGGTTAGTGGAGTGTTTTATATATATATTGAGATATATATGTATATACAGAATAAATAAGTGTTTCAATAAAAAATATTTGAAAATAGAGAAAAATGTGTTAGTTCGTTGTTAGCCAAAAATAAATGTGATATTGAAATGTGAATGAAGCTGTGGATTAGGAGCAATACTTATGGAACTGAAGGACAGAGAAACTATGAAACTGTACCATGTGCGAGACAGAGGAACAAAGGAAACACTTAAACTACGGCAGGCCGAAGTTTCTAGTACCCTTGCAACCAGATATACAATGGCTATGAGCTAGATTTTAGGTATTTGATATATGCAGTTGATAAGGCTTTGTCTGAATGTTATACAGAGAAAAGATAAGTGTTGCTATAATGATGCTATGGATCTTCTGAACCCAAGAGGCAGGTTAACAAATGATTAACGTATCTCTTGTATAACAGACATATACACACAGACAGACAATTCTGAACAATTTCAGTACATATACTATATAATTGGCTGATATATCTTTCGCAAGGGCATCAAGGCATCTAATCACATACCACGTTTCTCGCTGTTGTCATTGTTTATGTTGGAGACCTTCACGGCCGAGCTGAAGCAGTTGTAAAGGATGCAGAGCAACCAAACGACTAAGCCAATGATATTAGTCGTGTCGAAAGTGACCTTCGAGTTGTGGGTGGAAGGTGCAACGGTTGTGGTAATATTAGGTAAATCGTTCATCAAGCTAAACATGCCCGGATTGCAGGCCTTTTCTGTAAGCAAAACAGGCAACAGTTAAAGAGACTCGATTAGATAAGTAATGCTACAATCAATAGACCAACCAGGATTATTGGCCACAGCGGACCAGGTCAAATAGATGGTGTACAAAGTAACCAAAGAGCTCTGCAACAGTCCCGAATGTGGCAAACGTTCCTGCACGGCGGGCAGCACAGACAAAATGCTGATAACCAAGCAGAGTATAAGATTTATGGAGATGAAGAACTTGTTGATGCCGCAGCCAGTCGACTAGATTAGAGAGAGATGGTATGTTATAGTATACAGAGAGAGTTGTTGTCTTCTATACAGACTGTGGTAAAGTAGATATAAAGCAGCGTAATGCCTGTGAGGGATGCGATGTAGCTGAGCAGTGTGACGCCCGCCAAAGCATAATAATAGCCGCGATTGTTCTCTGCATTCTCTGTAAATAGATCAAGAATTTAGTCATGATTTGTGGCTATGATTTACGTAATGTCGCCTACCAATCCAATTCTCAGCCACGGTGTGGGCAAAGTCCACAATGATGACCAGCTGAACGAGTATGAAGGCCAATCCGCCAATCAAGCCCACCCACATCATGGCCGGCCCAAAGGAACCATCCGGTATAAAGATGGCCGCAATCGAGGCGCCGAAGCAAATCAGAAACTTCAAGGGCCAAAATTCATTTTGGATATGCGAGCGCGGATCACGCGAACTCTTCACACCCAGCATAATGACGGCCATCAGAGTAAAGAAACAAGCGAGACCGAAGCATAGACGATAGACAGCCATATAGCCCAGAGCATATTCACAATCCAATTGGAGAGATCCGCCCGATAAAGCGCCTAGAGTCTTTGAGCTCACTGTCGAAGTGGAGTTGACACAAAAGGGTAACTTCTTAAGCGTATCCTGCAAGCCGGGTGAGAGGGCAATAGCACCTAGAATCGTGCCCACGAGCAACATAAAAGCGTACATGAATCGGGATGACGAGGAGTTCTTGCAGGTGGGGCAGGCAGAGCAACACATGCTGGCAGCCGTGCCCGTGCAGCAGAGCGCACACTGAGAAAAAAATTAACATAAAATTAGCTTGTTTTAACTGTTTAATGTTTGTATTAGAAATAAACCATTTGTAAACTTTTGTCCAGCAAAGCTGCCAACACCGAGCATAGATTTTGTTGAAATTAGCTTTTTTAGCCGCGTAATGACTAATTTGTCAGCTTTTTTATTTCTAGCCAAAATTCCACAGCAGCTGCCAACACTGACAATCGATTTTAACGCAGTTGTTTGGCCATATGCGCAATTTGTTTTTAATGGCTAATCAGATATCGCATTTCTTGGTAAACACATACCTGCGCCGCTGAACAAAGGCCCAATGCAGCGCCCATCGTTAGAAGTTCCAATTAGTTAGCGTAAATTACTTTATTTATAAATTTAAGTCGAGAACAGTCGCACTGTTGGAAAGTGTTTGGTGTGTGAAGTCTGTGCTGTACAGTAACAGAGCTATCTGAGCTAACAGCAATAAGCCGATAAGTTTGGTTAAGCACCACTGCGAGAATGTTACCATGGCTGGAAAATATTGAAATGGAAATTTACCGTTCAGTTTTGTTTTGTGAGCGGTTGCGTCTGGTTGGTGCGGTACCTTTTAATTGTGCGCAAATTGTGTGGAGCATTTTTGAAAAACTGTCTGTAGTGGTGGTTTAACTCTGCGACTGCACTGTGACTGTGACTTCGTCTCTCTCTTTCTGTCTCTCCTGTGTGTGTGCTCGTGCCCCGTATCCGTGAATGTGTATGTGTGTGCGTGCATTCGAACAAGGAAAAGTGTGAAGATTTTTGAAAGAAAGCGCAACTTCAAATCGAAGAAATTAAAGATTAAATAAAGAAAAGAAAAATGGCAACCGAAGTAGCCCAAATACCCGCTGAGGAAACGCCTGCAGTTGCCGCAGCAGCAGCAACAACAGAAAACGCTGCTGCCGAGCAGGCGGAAAAACCTGCTGCCGAGCCTGTCGCCGCTGCCGCTGCCGTCGCTGAGAACGCTGCCGCCGCTAACGCCCAAGACAACAACAAAGAGGATGCAAAGGCGTCGCCTGCCGCTGCTGCTGCCGATGGAGCTGCTGCCGCTACCGATGCGAAGAAAGATGGAGGCGATGCTGCCGCTGTCGCAGCCCCAGCCAAATCTGAAGCGCCAGCACAAAAGTTCAATGTGCATAAGACCAATTTTGAAAAGGACATCATCTATCTGTATCAATTTTCACGTACTCCCCTGCTGCCGTCTCTCTCACCGTATTGCCTAAAAGTAGAGACTTGGCTGCGTCTGGTGGCGCTCAAGTACGAGGTAAGTCGCTTTCCCATTTTCCCATATTCCAGCATCATAATTTCTATATATATATGTATATGTGTATATGTATAAGTTTCGCTAACATATTTAAAATTTTACAAGAATTTCCCATTTTCCTGGCGGGTTTTTCATCATCAAATTTTTTTTCCATCCACACATATGTATTTTTGCGGTAGAGATTTTTTCCACACACATATGTATGCAGGAGCACGCACACTCATACATAAAAACCGCCATGATTGTGTGCTAAGCCTGTGACCTGCCCGCGCACCGCGCCCTACAGGCCAGCATACGCTGAAAAGGGATACATTTAGCATTGCCTTTTCTTTCTATCCCGGCAAACAACACACACCAACACATGCATACAGTCAGACTTCCAATGCGTGGATGTATGTGTGTGTGTACTCATATTTGAACCTGTAGCGAGCCAGGCCAGGCCAGGGGTTTTGTTGTTGCTGTTGCTGCTGGATTTTATTCCTGTCTGTTCATGTGTATGTTTGAGTGTGTGTGCGTCTACATAAAACAGCGTATACATAAAATTTGTGTGTGCGCCGACGCCGCTGCGCTGTGCCTGGCCTCTGCCTAGCTGCCGTTTCGTTGTCAACGTCTCGTCGCTGCTCTCTCTCATAAGTTGTGCTTTATACTCCACTGACACTCTCATACACATACGGAGACAACTCACTCCCTCACCCTTCCCTAATGCGAAGTTGTGCTTCAAATTTTGCACTTGGCACTCGAACTCGCTCTCACCTTCTCTCTCATTTGAGCTCTTGCTCTCACAGCAGAAACGGCTCCCATTTTAATGCTCTGGTCTTTGTCTTTGTTACTGCTGCTGCTGGCTGCAGCTGCAGCGCTCTGCTTCATTTAGTTTTTTTTCTTTCAGTCTCTGTCTTTGCCTTGCACAAAAATTCCAAGCCCCGTTTTGTGCCCGTTTTGTAATTGCTTTTAATAAAAAAAATTATTGTTGCTGTTGCTGTTGCTGCTGAGCTTACCCCACTCCTATTACTGCGCCTTATCTTTAAGTAGCCCAGCTAGACAAATAAATGTACCCACTGTCCATCGTCCATGTTGTCTGTCCCCCTGTCCACTAACTGCGCTCGCGACGCTCCAAAAGTTTCAAAGCTTTAGGCGCGCGCGCGATGCGTTTTGCATATATTTTCCTTCATATAGACTTAAAAAAAACTGGGTGCGGCCCTAGGCGGCAGCAGCGTCGACGGCGCAATTGTTGATTTTTTTATTTTTTTAATCTTATTAATTACATGGCTTAATGAGTGCGCGGGGGTCCGCCAGGGAGGGAGAGCGGGA